TTGATTCTATTAACAAATATATATAACAAAATATTGACGACATCCTCGGTTCCATCAGTGTGGACTAGAACAATTATTCATCCTATTTTCAAAAATGGCGACCCAAATATACCATCAAACTATAGAGGAATATCATTGTTATCCAATTTATCAAAGCTCTTTACATCCATATTAAAGACAAGATTGAATAATTGGATTGAAAAAAGGGGAATCTTAGCGGAAAACCAAGCGGGCTTCAGAAGTGGATATTCCTGTCAAGACCATATTTTTACCCTTACCTCACTGATACAGATGACGCTGAGCCGCAAAAGGAGGAAGTTATATGCCTTCTTCGTAGATGTCAAAAAGGCATTTGATACAGTACCACACTCCCTGCTTTGGAGGAAGTTGACAGTTTATGGTTTAAGTACCCGATTTATCAGCCTTATACAAAGCTATTATAATCAAATGTCAGCAACAATAAGATGGAACGGATCACTTACAGAATTTATAAAAATACAAGCTGGTGTTCTACAAGGTGAACCCCTGTCACCTTATCTATTTATCCTTTTTCTAAACGACTTGGTTTCTCTGTACGATGATGCCGATTTGCCAAGTATTTATTTACCGAATTATGGAAATATACATCTCCTTCTGTTCGCAGACGACATCGTACTTATCGGAGAATCCAAGATAAATTTACAAAAAAAGATCAATGTACTCAGAAATTACTTCGAAGATAATTTTTTAACGCTGAACCAGAGTAAATCAAAGGTTATGGTGTTTAGAAATGGAGGTCGAAATGCCCGATCGGATGTTTGGTTCTGGGGACAATTGCCGCTCACTATAACATCTAAATATACGTATCTGGGTTACCAGCTGACAGCGTCAAACTCAACTCAACAGGCGGCAAAGCATTTTAAAAACAATGCGCTAAATGCTATTAATGCGGTCTGGGCAATATCGACTAAAACAAGAATTAACTCTATCAGAGCCTCACTCAAGCTTCTAGACTCAATGGCTCTGTCAACCTTGCTCTACGCAGCTCCAATTTGGGCAAACAACCAAAAATACTTGGTTGACAAGGTACAAGACAATTTTTTACGGAGACTTTTAAATTTACCCAGATATACTCCTGGTTTTATTCTACGTATGGAGTGCGGAAGAACGTCACTGGGAGTTACGGTGCTGAAACTTACACTCGGGTTCTGGCTTAGAATTCTAAAAATGAACAGCAGCCGACTCCCCTATATATGCTTAACTCAACTATATGAGATATCAAAAAATAGAAATATATATATTGGACTTGCGGAAAGTTTGGCCAACATACTCAACTCAACAGGATTTTCTTGGTTAATTAACTGCAACGATGCAAGGATTATCCGGCAAGAAATACCATTAATAACTAAAATTGCAATAGAACAATCTATTCAAAGTGACCAGGCAAAAATAGAGAATTCTAAATTCTACCCTCACTATAAGTATCTACACAGTTCATTCCGAATTGAAAACTATTTACTTAGCAACTTTCCATTCCCAGTAAAACGCTATATCGCACAACAGAGAATACTATATTCGTTTTTCAAGGAAAACCATACAAAAATATTCAGGGAGGGTGATAAGATTTGTGATCTCTGCAAAGAAAATATGGAAACTGAACTATCTCATTATATCTATGAATGCCAAGATATTAGCGAGGAGAGAAGGACATTCTTTTCAACGGTAGACACCAGCCAACTTTGGTCAATCCAAACAATGTTAACCAGTGCCCAAACAAGTAGACTAGTTGCTCAGGCCCTATATAATTTTTACAAGGCAGTAGGTGTAAAGAGGGAGAAAAGAGAACTTGGAAGCTATTGTTCTTACACCTCAGAATGATGACGAAACATCGAGGGGCCATCGTGTTGGTCGACGATGAGATTGCGGAGCAGGTGATATGGATGGCTGTGCTGGAGTAGACCTTCTTATAGACCTTTCATATTAAATCTTACTTTTCCTTATTACTAATAATTGTATATAGTTGCGGAGCTAATGGTTTCCTGTGCTGCTCTTTTCCTGTTATTGCACTTTGTACGGAGAATCTGTATAAGACTAGCGTCTTAATAAAGGCTTTGTGTGTGTGTGAGTAAATCTACTTATATATTTGCCTTATTCTGTCTATTTGTCTGTTTGTCTGTTTGAAGCTCACGGATGGGATTTTTCATAACCATCGGTGGTTCAGTGGTAGAATGCTCGCCTGCCACGCGGGCGGCTCGGGTTCGATTCCCGGCCGATGCATTTTTTTTTTTTTTTTTACAATTTTTAAAACTCATTTATATATTATACAAGAATGACATCCACGGCGCCAATTTATAATTGTAACGAATAGTATTTGAATAAAAGCATTTAATCGGGTAAAACCCGGGCGTTGCCCGGGTCATTCGTATATAATAATTGTATAAACGAATGCAAGACATAATCACCGCGAATGTTTCTTTTTTTTAAGGCAATTTCTTTTTAAGGCAATTATCGTTATTTATCGTTTATTTTTGTTTCGATTTTATTGAAAAAAAAACGATATGGTGCCTTTAAAAAATGATCTTTATTACTATGCAGTTTTCTATTTAGTCAATATACCTAAGTTCATGTTGCAAATGTAATTATCTCTATCGATTTAGTAGGTGAAATGCAAAAAAAAAATCGACATGATGAAATCTTTATGAAAATTCACATTTTTATTTTTATATTTTCAAGACACACACAGTTTGGGGCGGGACGTTTCACAAAAGAGACATCCACGGCGCCAATTTATAATTGTAACGAATAGTATTTAATTAAAACATTTTAAAAACACACAGTTTGGAACGGGACGTTTCACAAGAGTGACATCCATGGCGGCAATTTATAATTGTAACGAATAGTATTTGAATTAAAACGTTTTCAAAATATATACGCACTCGGGTAAAACCCGGGCGTTGCCCGGGCCATTCGTCTAGTATAATATAAAAAGCCAACAATGAAGATTGAATGTAAGATAAAAAGCCAACAATGAAGAGTAAATATGATATAAAAAGCCAACAATGAAGAATGAATGTAAGATAAAAAGCCAACAATGAAGAGTAAATGTAATATAAAAAGCCAACAATGAAGAATAAATGTAAGAAAAAAAGCCAACAATGAAGAGTAAATATAATATAAAAAGCCAACAATGAAGAGTGAATGTAAGATAAAAAGCCAACAATGAAGAGTAAATGTAATATAAAAAGCCAACAATGAAGAATGAATGTAAGATAAAAAGCCAACAATGAAGAGTGAATGTAAGATAAAAAGCCAACAATGAATAGTAAATGTAATATAAAAAGCCAACAATGAAGAATGAATGTAAGATAAAAAGCCAACAATGAAGAGTAAATATAATATAAAAAGCCAACAATGAAGAATGAATGTAAGATAAAAAGCCAACAATGAAGAGTAAATATGATATAAAAAGCCAACAATGAAGAAATAATGTAAGATAAAAAGCCAACAATTAAAGAGTAAATGTAATATAAAAAGCCAACAATGAAGAATAAATGTAAGATAAAAAGCTAACAATAAAGAGTAAATATAATATAAAAAGCCAACAATGAAGAATGACTGTAAGATAAAAAGCCAACAATAAAGAGTATATGTAATATAAAAAGCCAACAATGAAGAATAAATGTAAGATAAAAGCCAACAATGAAGAGTAAATATAATATAAAAAGCCAACAATGAAGTAAAAATGTAATATAAAAAGCCAACAATGAAGAATAAATGTAAGATATAAAGCCAACAATGAAGAGTAAATCTACTTATATAATTGCCTTATTCTGTCTGTGTGAAGTTCACTGTGTGAAGTTCACGGATAGATTTTGGTCAGAATATAATATAAAAAGCCAACAATGAAGAATGAATGTAAGATAAAAAGCCAACAATGAAGAGTAAATATGATATAAAATGCCAACAATGAAGAATGAATGTAAGATAAAAAGCCAACAATAAAGAGTAAATATAATAAAAAAGGCCAACAATGAAGAATAAATGTAAGATAAAAAGCCAACAATGAAGAGTAAATATAATATAAAAAGCCAACAATGAAGAATGTATGTAAGATAAAAAGCCAACAATGAAGAGTAAATATAATATAAAAAGCCAACAATGAATAGTGAATGTAAGATAAAAAGCCAACAATGAAGAGTAAATGTAATATAAAAAGCCAACAGAGTGAATGTAAGATAAAAAGCCAACAATGAAGAGTGAATCTACTTATATCATTGCCTTATTCTGCCTGTGTGAAGTTTACTATGTGAAGTTCACGGATATATTTTGGTCATCAACGCGCGCATCATCATTATGATCATTATTATCATTATCTAATGATAATAATTATTATTATCTACTTATATAATTGCCTTATTCTGAAGCTCACGGATAGAATGCGCTTCCATTGGCTGCCGCCGGCGAACACGTGACCTCCCTGCCCCCCTCTAGACAACCCTGTTATCAGCAGTGTGTTACATCCACCTGTCTATACAGACCACCCTGTCTATAGCGGACACTTTGGGCAACCCTGTAATCAGCAGTGTGTTACATCCACCTGTCTATACAGATCACCCTGTATATAGCGGCCATTCTAGAAAACCCTGTTATCAGCTGTGTGTTACATTCACCTGTCTATACAGACCACCCTGTCTATAGCGACCACCCAAGACAACGTTGTAAAAACATATCCGCACTCGGGTAAAACCCGGGCGTTGCCCGGGCCATTCGTCTAGTCTACTTATATAATTGCCTTATTCTTTCTGTGTGAAGTTCACGGATAGATTTTGGTCATCAACGCGCGCATCATCATTATGATCATTATCATTATCTAATGATAATAATTATTATTATCTACTTATCTATCTACTTATATAATTGCCTTATTATGTCTGTGAGAAGTTCACTGTGTGAAGTTCACGGATAGATTTTGGTCACGTGTCAAGTTACGGTAAGTAGAAATTTAAAAATTAAAAAAAGAAATCCGAAACCCGGGATCGAACCAGGGACCTCTAGATATTCAGTCTAACGCTTTCCCAACTGAGCTATTTCGGCTTATTTAACATATACACAACATATTTTAACAGTATATAAAGTAGAATCTGGAAAAACTCTTAGTGAAAATTTCAGGTCTCTATCCCGAATATCCGTCGTGTTATTTGCAAATTTGCTCTTTCGCTCGCGCCTCTAGCGGTGAAAATGAGGGGTAATACCAGCTGATCTAATGTACATGTAAAGTTTGGAGCGGGACGTTTCACAAGAGTGACATCCACGGCTCCAATTTATAATTGTAACGAATAGTATTTGAATAAAACATTTAATCGGGTAAAAGCCGGGCGTTGCCCGGGTCATTCGGCTAATATTTAATAAAGAACTTCGATGTTCAATTCCACTACTGAGCTGAAACTATTCAGCAGACTGATTGGCCGATAAAAGTCATGTGATAGTTAGGTTACCAATCAGAGCGCGATCAAAGCGCGGACATATAAATATATATATATTAACATTAAGGTGTTTATTATAGTAATCTATAGCCAGTTCTAAGCCATATTAAAGTTTACCGTAAACTAACCAATATAGAGCTTTATAACAATTTTTAAAGTTTTACTGGCAATGTGCTTATTTTCTATAATCATGCCACGTGGAAAATTAGAAAAGACAAACTTCAGGATGACACTGCAATTTATGTAAGGCTAGAACGAACTATGAATGATAAAATAAAGATAGGCAATATGGGAAGTTTACAGAGTATCAATATATAAACATAAAAATGTAACTCTTTTAATAAAATAATGAATACTTTGCTACAATATCATTAAATATTATCTTTACAGACTTTATTGCAATGTAAAGGTTATTGAATGAGAGGGCTTGGCTCGTCAGTAGTGAATCCTCTCAGCGGTTTCGACAAATTAATCTCTAGAGCGCTCTACTATGGTATTGGATTGATTTTGTTATATACTCGTACAATGCATTCACTATAGAAGGCAGCTTTGGACGATAACTTTAATCATTGCAGTAAGGTCTGTAAAGATAATGTTTGATGACTAGTTTAAGTACATCAGCTGTGAGAGAAAGACGGCCTTAAAGAAAACTGCAAGGTGATCAATCTTCCAGTAAGATATTTTCAATTTTGTATTTTTTAAAATTCATTTTTGCTTGATACATAAAAAAATCAATAAGAATTTAGGAATTAAATTTATCAGTATATATATATATGATTTCAAAAATATTAATATTTCTAATTTTTTTTCTGAATATAGTTTTTGTGGTCTAGAGGTTTTCACACACACACAATTTTTTAATGAAACATAAATAGGAGATAATAGAAATTCATTTCTCTTTTCGAAACACTAAAATTTTGTTGATACAGTTTGAATAAAAATTATATTATGTGATTATCACACAAACACACACAACACTTATAAGAGAATTATGTTTCTTTTGACTTATAATTAGTCTAATATCTATAGATAAATATGTGGCAACCACACTTTGCTTCAGCGAGCGCGGACAAATCTTCAATACACATACGGGCACTAGTGTGGCGACCTCACTACGCCTCGGCAAGCGCGAACTGGGAGAACACACTACGCATGCGCGCGGGCGGCATCCGGGACTCTCTTGCCACGCGTGTCGTCAACAATAAGGTTTGCTTCCAACGGCCGTTACTTCTTTTCTCTTTATATATTTAGGCTTTAAATAAATTAATTTAAATTATAAAAAATAATTATTATTTCATCAGCGGCCTTTCCGCAAGCCACACCAACACTCACGCAACCATCCCACAAATATATGGAAATATTTAAATTATGTTCAATTTTGCACATTCCATTCTTAGAAACTCATTCACAGGAAAAGCGTTAAATACTCATTTCTTCATTTCTCAGGAAAGCCTCTGGAACCAAATTTTGGTCGTAAAGGTACAGTCTGCACCACGCTGACGAGGGCTAACAGCCCGAAACGCGTTCGTGGTTGACTTTTCTTGATTTATCACACACAAGAAATTGGGTTGGCCAAATATCACGGAACAAGTTAAATGAACGTTTAGTTGATTTTTGTTCCACTAGATGGCGCTCTGTCATCTAGAAATGCTCATGTGAACCTGGTCAGGATATGCTCCTTTTGTTTTTAATATCAACACCTGACCCTTTATATATTTTTTATTGTTTTTCACATATATATGTAATTTATATATTTTCTCCATTTAATGTCATTGATTATACTATATCAATCTGAAAAAAAAAAATATTTAAAAATAATTCAAATATAGTTCGATAGATGGCGCAAAATATTTAAAAATGGCTAATTACCAAATTTAGAAAGAAAATACACTATTTTATCAATATTTATAAATTTGAAGCATATTTAATATATAAATCATCTAGTAAAAATAAAAATAAATCAATTTATTAATAAATACCCAATAATAGTTTTCCTAAAAACAAAGGCTTTTGGTTAAAGAATTGTATAGTTTAACTAGTCGTCTTCGTTCGTTTTCATTTTTCCAGTTCGCATCTAGCTCTCTACCTGTGTACATCTTTGCCCTCTTGCTCCCGCCATGGCTTCCTCTAAGAAGAAGAAGAAGGAGGCCGAGAATGCCGAGAAGCCCCTCATAACCCTCGCCCAAATGGAGATCGAGAACCGGGAGGCGTTTCTGCCCTTCCAAAATCCCCAAACTTCCAGGGACCCTGCTACCGGGTGGAAACTGTACGCCGCCATGGACAGCTTCATCAGGTTGCGGACCGGGCAGATCAATGCCCTCCTTGCTGAGGTGGAGAGCCTCTCTGGCATCCTCGCGTCCTTTAAGGAGCTGGACGAAGATGCCAACAAGCCCCAGACTGACTGCCACAGCACCCAAACAAGCCCTGCTTGAAGGAAACCAGCTCCCAGACTGACCCCACCAAGCCCGCCACTCCCGCTCCAACCAAGAGGAAGCACCCTGAGGCTCCCTACCCGCCCGCAAAGAGAACCAACTTTAAAGGTCCCGCTAAACCTGCGCTCTCCCGCGTCCCCAAGCCTGCGGCCGCCCAAGTGGTCCTCCATGGGGACAAATCGGCGGCCCACACAGTGGTCGTCTCTGATGACCCACAGGCTGACCCTAGGGAGATTTACAAGGCTGTCCGCGCTGCCCACACTCTACCCCAAGGTGTTTGGGCCTCTCTACGCACCAAGGGGAAGCTGGTCCTCCACTCCAGCAATCCAGACATCATCCCTGAGGTAACAACCTCCCTGGCCAGCAAGCTAACGGGAATGAAGGTCCGCCAACAGAAGGTGATCCTGCCTCGCATCTGCCTCTTCAAAGTGGATGAGGAAACATCCAACTCCACCATTGAAGAGACGCTGCTGGGAACTCCTGCTGTCAGCCAACTACCTGGGGACAAGGTGGTGCGCGTGGCGCACCGTTCTGCACCCAGAAACGGGACCTGCACCGCCTTCATCGAGGTGGACCTCAACACCTTCAGAGCTCTGGGCAACCGCGGAAGGATCGTGGTGGATGGAGTGATCCTCAACTTCGAGGAGTCCATCCGCGCACGAATCTGCTTCCGCTGTTGTGGCTTCGGCCACAACTCTGCCCAATGCACCAGAGATCCCAAGTGCTTCCACTGCGGTGAAGGCGGTCATGAAGGCCGTTTCTGCCCCTCTGTTGCTGACCGGCACACTTCCAAGTGCACCAACTGCTGTGCCAAGGGCCTTGCAGACAAACACGAGGCGAGAGCCTCAAGCTGCCCCACCTTGAAGCTTAGAGCCCTCAAATTCTAGGCTTCCAGGACCTCCTGCCTCCTCAACTGGCCTCCATCCTGGCTTCTCACCCATCAAGGCGCTGATTCCCTGACCTCTCCAGCTTTCTCCCCCCCTGCGATGACACCTCCACTGCCAGATCCTAGGATCCCTTGCCACCAGTTCGCGTTCTGCAGCCATAGTAGGGCTAGAAGACCCTTTTTTGTGGCCAAATAGCCCGTATTCTCAACAAACCGTGTATAGTTTATCTGGTTTTATCTTTCTAATTATATCTGGTTGAGAGTCTTTGACGTGTTTAAAGCTCTCTTCATGAAATTAAAATTAGTCATGGTGTCTTTTCCATAGTGGGTAAAAGTAGGCGACTGCTTTTACTGTAAATGCACCACATATCTATACATGTGAAAAGCAGTTCGACTTTGCACTTACGAACATGCCAGAACCCCGTTTGGTTTCTTGCACTCGCTGGTTGGGTTGGACTTAATTAATAAACACTTTTCCAGTAAATTTTATTTTTGTTACAAATTTTATCTATAGATGGCAAATGATTTATATTTTCAATTTAATGTTATACAGAATTAACCTCTAGTATACTTTAAGAATAATACAACCTCAAAGTGTGGCGACTTAATAAACTTGAACTTTTTCTCGGCCACAAAACTCTTCGATATAACAAAAAAGAAAACTGTTGGTTTTCGACCGCTACGACCCGGGTTCGATTCCCGCATTGGGCACTTTTTTCCTGATTAAAAAAATCTTCAATGGCCCCCGATTCTTGCAAAAATCCAACCCCAACAGTGAGTGCAAGTAACCAAACGGGGCTATGACACATTCGTAAGTACAAATGTCGAACTGCTTTTAACATGTGTAGACATGTGGTGCACTTACAGTAAAAGCAGTCCTCAACTTCTACCCATCATGGACTGTATACCATTGGAACTTGGGATAATAATATAATACAAATATAAAAATATGTTATTAATGCAATATAAGAAATAAAACACTTGTAAATCGAACCGGCAATATCTCGTATTTAATACAGAATTTCTCTAGTTAATTTCTCTGCGTGAGTTAGAGAAAACCATACTTTGAAGTCACGTGACAAAATGGACAACCAATCAGGACCGATCCTTTCATTGTCAAGTGACCTTAATCAACCAATCAGAGAACGAATAAACCGGACACCATATACATCTAAATTGTGCCTTATCATTAGATTTGGTCTTATTACCTTCTGTTTCTAATCTATATTCCAAATTGTGCCTTATCATTAGATTTGGTCTTATTACCTTCTGTTTCTAATCTATATTCCATAT